GTATGGTCTGCTGCAGATTTCAAGGTCATATCAATAGCATTTGCATCAGATTCCCAAAACGTCAAAGGTCAAGGGCCATTGGTCACAGTCACTCAGGAAAGAAGCTGACATTAAAAGCTTGAGACAAAAATGCAGTCGAAATACTTGAGCTAATGACGTAAATGAACCTCATTGAGTTTAGTCCCCATTAAAAGTGCTACCAAGTGAAAAGGAGTAGCTAATTAGAAACAATGGGAAGATTACAATTAGAAGCCTCTAGTAAGCGAGGAGGTTATATGCGCAGCCTGTGTGGCGGGCAGAACAGGCAGTCGATGTAACCGGCGGGCATGCATGCTCCGCAGGGGCTCTACTGAATTGGAGGTCTGAATTGGAGCTCAACTGAATTGTGAAGCATCTACATCATTTTTTCCCATCCAGGTGATGTTCACATCGTGGGCCGGGACGTTCTTGGTGGTTGGCATCCCCTTCTACGTATTCCTCGCGATGAAGCGCCGCAGGAATCAATCTTTAAGGTGAGAAACGAGCGTGACCGTTATCGTCTGGGTCGCAAGGAACCTATGGCAATGCAAACTGAGTTTTTTGAAGTTGACAGCGTCTCGCTTTTCCGACTTGATGTGGACGGACAAGGACAGAGTCTGACATTTTGCATTATGCATCTTTTTAATTCAGCATCCCTTACTTCAAATGTGCTAGGTGCTAGGTGCTCACAGCTTGTTTCGATGCACACGATTCGATACATCATGGAAAAATATACATTATACGCGATGCTAACATCCTGTTTTTAAATGGTGAAATTTATTTCAATCAAAAATCACATTTAGCACAACCTGCTGATATTTAGCGGACAAAAGACGAATCTAATGAAACGACCGTCCTTGTCTTCCCATCGAACTCAATAGCGGTTTCCGGCGATAATGAATTAGAAGGACTGTTCCAAAGGGTTGTCGTATCCTTAATACAAGGCAGCGGTTCTCAACCTATTCGTCGTAATGGCACCCTCTTCAGACAGCGAGACGTCGGCGGGACCCGAGCACATTCGCGAACCTCCAATGTAAACAATATAATTATAAAGGGTATGAGCAAAACCAATTTAATATAAGCCCAACCAGACCTCTGAATTCATGAGAGGGTTATTTTGATCCGTCACCTGAAAAAGAAAGCATCGGTTGAGAAAAAAATTCTTTAAACTTTTTTTTTCCCTCCAACACAATACCTGCTCCTGCCTTTGATTGCCATAAAATCAGGATCCAGCTCAAATTTTGAAGTGATCTCACGCAGTTCACTTGTAAAGTTTACACGAGACCGGCATATTATTTTTTGTACCAAGAACAAGAAACGGTAGACATACATATCTGGTAGCAAAAAGGAATCTGTATCTTTGATGCAGCAACAATATCGATATCGACATTCTTCCTTGATAAAGGGGAAGGATTCGTTTAATAAAGGTGCATACCATAGAAGAAGTGCATCCCATGCACCCGGTATTCACTTTTATTAAGGGAATATCTATCAAGCCAGAAGTATTGCACTTCAGAAGCAGAAGAGGTTTCCTGCCCGCTCTGTATAGTGCTTCTCGAAGACTACAATGCTACACCAGTAGCATTGTAGTCTTCTGGCCTAATTGCACTACATCGTTGAAAGGTTCAAAAGAAAGTTCTATTAACCCCAACGGCACCCTTGCCAGCTTCTCACGGCACCCCTGGGTGCCGCGGCACACAATTTGAGAACCGCTGATATAGAGCATTAAGTTTAAATGTCCCGCACTCCATGTATCGTCCATGGCAGACTGGCAGCCGAGGTGATAACTTCTTTTCGGATGCTTCATTAGTTGCCAAGCGAATTCCATTTCATGCTGCAGGCATTTCAATTCTTAATCAAGAATTAGTTTCTTTCCAATTTTTTTTCGCTGTCCCGTGCAATTTCCTTCGTTGCTTAGCAATGCGTTTTTTCTCCCACACAGAGTGCAAAGACGGAAATAAAATGTACGAAATATATCCTAAGAGTTCAGCAAAGAATAAAGAGTTCTGATCGGAAGCGACACCCTGCAACTGCAGACAATAACGAGGTTCCTCTCGCTAAATTCACGTCCAGGCAGGGAAGGCAGGGAATGCAAGACAACATCTACGAATTCCAACAATGTCTCCTCCGTGCCAGTTCCCGGAAGAAGGACGACGAGGACTCGGCGTCCACTGCGACGACGGACTCGCTGCCCCCCGACCTGGTCGAGATCCCCTTGCAAGCCTTGGAGCTGAAGGAAGTTCTCGGCGAGGGGAACTTCAGCGAGGTCTATTTCGCCTTGTACAGTTACATCTCCGAAGGAGAGGGATCCCTGGAGTCCTTGGAGGTTGCCGTGAGTGTTGTTGTCCATGAAGCAATTTTGAACCATAGTAAACCCATTGAACATTGACTTAAGGAACGAAACTTGAAAAAAAAAGAAACTTAAACATCAACTGGATATTCTCCATGGACATTCAGTGAATGAATAAATGTCTCGTCCAAGGGTAATCTTCAAAAATATGTCCATTTGATGGTCCATTGTATGTCCGTTATTTTCTGATCCATTAGAGTTTCCGTATGAAAGTCATTGGATAACCATGGAAAAGGGGAACTTTAGCAATTACCCATGTAGCAATGGAAAAAAACTTGCACGCAATCATGCAATTAATTTGGCAAATAAAATGTTGCAAATTCCTGGCGAAAGGACGCCCCTAGACTCACCTCACTAGGGGAATCCTACTCTCTCCACACATTATGCATGATATGTCTGGAGTCACCTTGGGTTAGATTACGTCTCTCAGGAAATTATTTATATGAACGACCTTCTTCCTTCTGCTTGTACGTAGAAAAAACATCGAGCACAGGATGGAAGCTCCTGCTGAAGCATTCATTCCCTTACAAAAAGGTTCTAAAGGATCCAATGAGATTTTTCAAACATAAAAATCTGATAGGATTCTTATAGGAATCACATCGAGTTCCTTTAGGATCCTATAGGAATCCTATGAGAATTCTATAGGAATTCTTTGATATTTTTATGTTTGAAAAATATTATAGGATCCTAAATGATTTTTTCGTAAGGGATCATTTTGGAATCGAGACACGTACAGCGGCGAGTTCAGCACGACCTCGCTCATATTGTGGGACTTAATTTTTATCGAATGAACTGTTTGATGCCAGGAAGTGAAAATTCAATGATGAAATTCAATGTTTGAAAATTCAAAGAAGGACCGACACAGAGTTTCTTCGTAATGTCGAACTCTAAAAGGATATCATGCATTGGTCCGAATATAATGTCACACTATTGATATAATAATTAAATTTGCCGGATTTCGTCTTAAGATGAGAGATTTGAAGGAAAAAAAAAGAAATTCAGGAATCAGGTGATCCGATGTTCCATCGCCACTCCATTGCTTCAATTTAAAAATTGAAGCAATTCAACGTACGATGCAGAGAAATTCTTTCCAGATAAAGCTCAGAATCGATAAGAATAAATCGATCCACAGCGATGACAACCTATGCTACAAAAAAAAATTCCTCCTATTTTTTTTTTTTAGCGTAAAGATGCTGTTCCGGAAAAGAACTCTCGGAATCGATCCCTTCGGCAAAAGAAAGTAATAGAGCTTTCTCAATATTCAATATTCAATTCTCAATATATCGGGTTTCCGTTCACGGAAGTAAACATTCATCTCATTCGGGTTTTCCTTAATTGCTTTTTTAATTAAAAAAATCTAATTTCCATTCGAAATACGGTATGATGAATGGGATTACCTCGTCATAATGGAACCTTCCCTTCATCAATCAGTGTGCATTCGGTGAATCCATATCATCGTAATTTCTTTTCGCCAACGCGATTATTGAGTTCCTCCTTTTAATGACTTTCGGAAAAAATCGCGGCCCATTCTCGCCTCTCTCAAAGTGTTGGAGGAGAACGACCGAGAAATACATCATTTATAGTTCGATCGGCTTAAGAATGGCCGACAGCCATGAAACATAGATGATGTCGGTGAAGCAAGGCAAGAAGGATCTGCGATGCTCTTCGTTCCCCCGTATCAGATAAGGAAAAACGCATAAAAATAAGTTTATCGTTGAGGAAGGAAACTGTGCGTTTTTCGAAGCATCATGACGTCATAATTAAGGGGATGTAGGAGGCTCCTGGGAGTCATCTCCCATTCGGAAAGTAAACTAAATGTATCGGGTGACTTCCCTGAGGTGTCGAATAGGAAAGGTCCGAGAGATCAAGAAAAATTTCCAAGAATATTCGAAACAGGCTTTTCCGACACAGAATAGGAAAAGGATCGTTCGCTTAAACTTCGGAATTCGAATGTAGGTCTCTTAGACGTAATATTTTGCGAAAAAATGGAGAAAATTCTACAATTGAAAAAGTCGGATTTACGAGATAAGCTGGAAAAATTTTCCCTCCACATTAAAGGGAATGCATATTTGCACTCGGAAATTTTTACGATGGAGACTCGGAACGAGTTTTGTATCACCCATGGCAACTTGAGTGTGCTGAGAATATTCCCAAGTCTTTATCCGTTGGAGTTATATTGGGGCGATATTGGATTGTGCGGCGCTCTCCCATTGCATTGAAGGGGAGAAGCAGGGAATTTGGAATAAGTCGATTTTTCAGCTTTGAGCTTGCCCGAGCTTGAATTGAAAAAAATTCTCTTCCGCCCCGAGTCTGACCCTGGGTCGCAAAAAAAAAATATTTTTCCTTCTCCGAGCGAGGCAGACCGATGATTCCTTTCACCACAAGCTAAAAAATAATGATAGTTCAAATGATAAATTTTTAACTGTTCGAAATGAATGGCCTCCGTTCCGTTACCATGGGATTCTAAGACCGGGGATGGGCAATATCAGCGAATGATTTCATTTTATTTTAACGGACTGGATTTGCATCGAATGGCAGCATATCAGGTCTTTCACTTATTTGATTAGAAAAAAAATTATTTGAATTGTAATGCGACTCTTTATAATCGATGGCACAATTCACATGCTACGCTATGTCAGGTATGTAGCAATTCAGATATTCATGAGATGGGCCTGGCCAATTGGCATTGGAGTTTTTATTTGCACGGGCATGATGTCTCCCGAACGTGACTTCTATAATTGACCTAAATAATTCCATTGAATTCCTGATGCCATTACTTCGAATTAGCAATTATCGACACCTGCATCCCCAAAAGCAATTCTCGCCATCATTGCGCAGGTGAAGTTCCTAAAGAAGGGGAGCAACAGAGACCAGAAGCTGAAGATACTCCGCGAGGCGCAACTGCTGGCGAAGATGCATCATCCGAACATCCTCGGGCTCCTTGGGATAGTGAGGAGCCAGACAGTTGGGATCGTCTCCGAGTTCATGCCCCTCGGCGACCTCAACCGCTTTCTCAGGTATGTTCCCGGAATTCACACTTGCTATACTACAAAGGAAGTCGTGGCGTAGGAAAGCCCTCTTACTGAGATGCACGACCCTCACAAAATATTCACCTGTAGCCTCTGGGAATGAATGGCAGGTGGATTCGTAGGCGGGGGGGGCGTAGATAAGGTAAGCGGTACACGTCCCCCAACAGTATAAAAAAAAAGATGAAACAAAAATATTCTACCACACTTGTGGCATTGTTTCTTTTGCATTGGAGGTAAAGCTACAAGATCAAATTACTTGGCTAATATCTCGAAAGCAAGGCTACAGGGCAACGGCGTTGTTGTTGCGTGCAATGGGCGTAATACCGATGGCGTCTCTCTGCACGACCGGAAAATATTCCAACATTTTCCCTCCTGCATATCGCAAATTTGTCTCCGCGCGTCAGTGTGGATAAATGAGAAAACCGATTGTTCGGTATTACCCGACTTTCCGCATTCCCCCGACTTTCCTTATTCGAGAAGGTAGATAAGATTCCTTATAATAAAAAAAATACGGAGCATGCCGGAAACCTCTTCTGACGAAGCACTTCTCGCTTCAGCCTACTCTCAATAAACGGGCATTATGGCAATATGAGTCAGTTTTGATCAAAATTGACTCATTGCGTTCTCCTGGTATGCACCTTCAGTAAGAGAGTATTTATTAAATAGAAATGTCAATATCAGCACTGTTGCTGAATTGAAGATCTTTATTGCTTTTCGCTACCGGATATGTATAAACATACATATGTTTACCTTCTCTTACTCTGGGTATAGAGAAAAAAAAAACAAGTTCAGGTCCCATTTAGGCTTTACGATCGAACTGCGTGGGGACACTTCTAATTTTTACCGCATCTTGATTTTTAGAGCAACCAAAGGCGGGCAAAGGTATTGTGTCGTGGTAAAAAAATTGAAGAGTTTGAGTACTTAAAAAAAAAAGGTTATGCGAAATGGGAAAACTGCCGTGAACGAATTTAGAGGCTAGGCTCACGTTATTGTGGATGGAGGTTCGTGGATGTGCAGGGGGTGCCGCCGACATGCCGCCGACATGCTGCCGACATGCCGCTGTCTCGAGAGGGTGCAAAGTTGAGAAACGCTGCTTTAGTTGGTGGTACGCTTTTATAAGTTCGGTCTTTGAAAAAAATATTTTTAAATGGTTTTAAGCTCACTTAAAGAACTACTCGTATTTGAAATGAAGACGCATAACGACTTGGTAGCTCTTGAACAATTAAAGACGGGGCTCGGCATGAGTCTTTATCGTGTGATCCCTATTACCATTTCTCCCTATTATCTTTGCTTAATAGTTATTCGTGGGAGTGATCGCGTGAATGTCCAGAATCATCATTGTTATTTGTCGCGGCAAAGCCCTGAGATCCTTGTAGCTCCTGGAAACTGGTTGTTTCCTGGTTCGTTCCGAAAAAAAAGTCTTCATTTTCCAATAAATATTTAACTTTAGAAGCTTTTCTGTTTATTTTTAGAGTGCACTTGCATTTGGAACCGAAGAATGTCCCCCCCCCCCTTGGGATATTCGGGAGAGTTACGGTTAGAATCTCGAAAGACGGAATCTCGACCTTCATATTCTCCAATTCAAGCATTTCAACTCATAATCTCGATCAAACATTTTGGATGCTCTTTATTATTGGTCAAAATTTCAATTGAATAATTAAAATTCATAGTATGAAACTATACTATGAAAAACTTATCACATATGACCTGACCTAATATTCTATATTATATATATATATGAATCCAAGTCGCGCTGATGGTACTCAGACACATTATTTCCTTGATTTATCAGTTCTTCATCATTATTATCATCATAATCCCGACTTGACCTCGACGCATCTCCAGCGAATCGCGTTCATAAGCATAACCGTTTAAGCATAACCTTTCTGACTTTCGACGAATTCGGCCATGATCGCGAATTTCTGATCGAAATCCGGAGATGCGGAGATGTCTCCAGCCACGAAAGTCGACCGCGGATTAGGGATTAACGGGGATTAGAAAGAGGAACTGGCAGGCATCGCTCGAAGTGAAATGAATAGCCACAATAATTATACCATAATTATATTATACCATAATTATATTATACCATAATATTATTTTATACCATAATATTATTTTATACCATAATTATATTATACTATAATTATATTATACCATAATTATATTATACCATAACTATACCACCATAATTATACATACTCGGTTTGCGAACTCCCCAGACAACGGCATCTTACTTTCCTTCCCATTCTCCAAAGGGGGCAAGAGGGGATTGTCAATCGATACTTGACTCGGGAAAGGTCTAAGACAGTTTAAAGATTTTCTCACGTGATCCTCGGTAGGGAGCTCTGCCATTTAGATCAACGGGCTCCTATCGCCGATATAATTGTAGGTGACAGGGCATTTTCGGGTCGAATTTCGCATGTCACACTTCGATTATCCGATTGCCATCGGTGTGTGTCCAGAGCATTGGGTTAATTAGCAGCATAATCCCACGTACCTGATCCGATAGCAAATGACATGTTTAACGTGTTTTCCTGAGCGTTCTTGGAAACAATCCTACTTTCGTTGATCCAGTGTAGAAACATTCGGGAATTTCCTTCTATTGTTCATGTTTTATTATGTTGATTATCATTTATATATGCAAGGTGGCCCAAAAAAACCGCACCAATTTTGATCGGCAATAACTTTTGAAAAAAATTGACCTTTTTTCGTGTTCGAAACGGGAATTAAAAGGTCTATTAATTCTCTTTCCATCGCCATATCATTTATCAAATTTTCGTCAACGGAACCAGAGAAATTGCAATTTAAGTACAAGCACCCAAAAAAGTGGATGAACAAGACTGGCTTACCAATTTAAGTTACCAATTTAAATAAATATATATCTCGCGAGGGCATAAACTTTTTTGGCTCCATCTGCATTCGACGTTCTTCCGTGTCCGGTAGACCCTCTGATAGATACCAAATACTTTGGCTAAGTACTCAGGAGATTCTTCGGTATTTTCCCTTGTTCACGAAGGTTTTCTGAAAAAAAATATCGGACGAATTACGGGAGCTTCAGCTGGATATGAGTGTGCTATCCCTTTTTGGTCAGGTTCCCGAATTCGATTCAGCATTATGTGCGCTGCACCGTTGAATCTCTTTGCCGAATCCTGTTCGTCTTGTGAAATTGTACAGGGGGTCCCATACGTCCCTTTACCCCTGAACCTTTTCCTCGGGGAATAGGGTTGGAAAATGAAACTCATGCGATATGTTATTTATGTATTTTTGCATTTATTGTGACATTTAATAACACTTGTTTGGCAATGTAAATGGGCTTTGGCTACTCATGCCTTCCGCCATCTTCAAAAATTATAACTGCAGTTATAATAATTATATTAATTATAATAATTATATTAATTATAATAATTATAATAACCCTGTACTTTCCCCCAAAGAAATACGCGTCAGAGAAAGTGGTGAGAACGAAAAACAAACTTGGTGTTTACGCGGAATAGGAACGAATTCAATCAAAAAAATAATTAAGGAAATTACTCGGATGTGCGTCGCAAGGGTAGAAGTGATTATGGAGCCAAGGTGCTTGATTGTGGGCGTGCCGTTTGTGTGGAATGAGGCAGCTGCAACTTTTAACGAGGAAGGAATGAAGAGTCGCGGTGCGCGTTTTCCGCAGAAAGAGAGGCCCGGATTCGGGGATGTCGGGAGGGGAGGGCGGAAGCGAGGCGCAGCTGGGTCAACTGGGACTGGAGGACTTGCTGAACGTCGCGATCCAGGTTGGGTCCGGTCTCAAGTACCTGTCGGATCGACGGTTCGTCCATCGGGACCTGGCCACGAGGAATTGCCTGGTCGGGGAGAACCTCACGGTCAAGATCGGGGACTTCGGCATGTCGAGGGACGTCTACAGTTCCGACTACTACCAGGTTTGTCTCTTGCTCGCCCAGTGTCCGTCTGCAGGTCCGGCCGATGAGACTTGCGTCTCACGGCATCGGATGATGCTGTGCCTGGTTTAAATTGTAAGAATTTCATCATGAGGTCGAGACCATTCCCATAGGGGATCCTTATGACCGATTGCGGCGCAAAAGATTATTTACATTATTCGATCAAGGGGATTTTATCCCTATATTATATTTAAGAAGATTACATCAACTACTTTTTAACGGTCTGGCTGCCATGCCGCATCAAAAGACGTGCCTCAATCGTGGCTTGATTTTTCGGACGATAAATTTATTCCAGCATAAAAACTCATGGAACTCATAATCCAGCCTGAAATTGCGAAGGCGAAGGATCAGAGACCCGATTCCCTGCGATCATCATTACCGGGGAGAAAACAGCGTCGGGACTGAAGGATTCCTTTCGTCGAATGAGGAAAAGGAACTGCGAGGGGAAAAAAACCAGGGTCGTCCAAAATCACGAGGAAAAACCGTCGCGCTTCGCAGTTGGCACAGGGTCGTGGGTCCTTGCGTGATGATGGTGCATCTCGACGCCATTTTATCCGCCTGAATCCAATTGACGCATTCGGTGATGCATGTCCACTGAATCAAACATGCTAGAGGTTCCGACGACGTCCAAGGTTTGAAAATAAATTTATGCAATTTTATTGGAGGCTGGTTTCACGTGATGGAAATTCAGGTTGAGGAAAAGTGCAACTCTTGGATTTGACCTTGAAGTGTTCAAATGAATTGAAAGCAACTTTCCCACGCGAAACGTGGATTGTCGACACGTGGCACACTCCTGCACCACGACAGTGAAAGTCACACTAAGCCATCCCAATCCCACTCATCCCAATCCACTCATCCCAATCCACTCATCCCAATCCTCATCCCAACCCTCATCCATGAACCTTTCGAGGCGAGTTCCAACAAGCAGATGAGTTTGTTTTCGAATAATTCGTTTCAGCACCGCTCCAGTTCCAAGCTCGCCGACGACTCAATCGCGAATGGCCTTGTGCGGAAAAAGGAAAACAAAGGAGGCATCAAGCAGCGATGCTCGGCCTCTCCCAAAGAGGGAGAGGGAAAATTCCTTGGGAAACTTTCATTTGCATCGCCTCCCACGATCATCTTCAAACTTTTATTGACATATTCCTAGTGGGTTGTGGAAGATTATGTTTTGCATGTCATTAATGAACTTCTGCGTAGATCGACTTGGGTGATTGCCCTGAGCCATCCCCCTCTCTTTCTCATGTATTTGGAGTGATTCCCGGTTTTTCCCACCTTTATTTGTCCTGCGCCCTCGAAACACGGATCCATCTCATTAAGCAGTTCAATCAACTTATTTACCTTCGTGAACGCAAACAAGCAGATGGAAGTGCTTCATCGTTGCAGTTCAGCCTCCCTTGGAAACTTCCCAGTTCAATTAATTCAAATTTAATGTACGAGTGAGAATGTGTCTCGCATTTCGGTTATCACCATGAATATCATAACTTCTGCGGTACGAGGACTCGCATGGTTCACCCCTTTCAGAAGGAAGGAAGCTGCACTTCATGAATTACTTCGGTTAAATATTAATTCTGAAACCAAGAATCCTCATTCCTGGAACGCGCATCACTCTCGAGATATTCACGTCTGCATCATGCAGAAAGAACAGGAGGAAAATGAAAAATTCTGTCGAGGAAGGCTACGAGACTCATCTCTTTTTCGACAGCAAAAGAAGAACTTCTTCGAAAAACTGCTTCTCTTAGAAATCCTCCGAGGAAATACTCAATCCCCGCTGACAATAGGGGGACAGACACGAGATCCACCATGCAAGAACCTGCTTACAAAGGCCAGAGTGAAATTAACCAGATGAACCAGACTCTAAAGAACTCATCCATGAAATCGATTGAGTTTCCGCTGCACCAACCTGACACATGAACCCTTTCCACCCCCCCCCCCCCAAGGAAAATGTCAAGAGTAAGCGAATCTCTAATTACTTTTTCTGCGCTGACGGCTATTTTCATCCAGAGGACCGTGTTTGCAAACGAGCACGTCAAAAAGGAGGAAGCGATGAGGAAAATAAGGAAAATCAATCGACTTTCCCCGTCTAGACATGGTACAAACGCAGATCCTCCAATCTTCTCGACATGATGGAAGGCAGACATCCTTCCAATCCGGCTCAAGTCGCGTCGCTATGTCAATAGACATTCCAGAACTTATTCAAAGTTTTCAACTCCTCACCGTTAAAAACTCTGCCTCCTCGTATCGCTCTTTGAGGGTGAATGAAATCGACTTGTAAAGGGAGATACTAGCTATTTTTGATAGTGCGTCGTTTCGCTGTAGCAGAAAAAAATTAGCTGTGTATTTTTGATTAGCCTGGATGCTGGAGTTATGTCCAGTTCAAGACTGATTCTACTTTCTGTAAGTCGAAGGAATTTTTCTTTTGAGCAAGGAAAGCAGGCTTAGACCTGAACTGAATATATTCCTTGGATACAACTAGGCCCAACATCAGTGAGTCCTGTAAAATCTGATGCTTTTCACAAAGCATCACAATTTCTTTCCTATCTACATTGCATTGTGGTCATTCCATTTTACCTACATGTTGCTCCCATATACACAGTGGCATTTGTCGCTCCTCTTGGCTCTCAACTCTTGCGACCGGGTGGATGTTTCTCTGCAGATCGGGAACGGGAAGTTGGAGCTGCCGCTGAGGTGGATGCCGCCCGAGAGCATCATGTACGGCACTTTCAGCATCCAATCCGACGTCTGGTCCTTCGGAGTCGTCCTCTGGGAGATCTTCTCGTACGGCAAACAGCCCTGGTTCGGGTCCTCCAACGACGAGGTAAACACTATGCAGTTTAGGAAACACGATAGTTCGCTTAGGCAGAAAAGATTAGGGTAAACCAGTGGTCAATAGTGGCATTTTTCCTGGGCCGCTCCGAGAAGGACCTCAAGCCGATATGGCAAGGAAGGAAGAGTACCTCCAAAATGAGTACCTCTTATTTCTACTATAAAAAGAGAAATATTGGAATTTCGGAAAGTTTTGATTTTTGGGAAATATTATTTCGGGCATGGAATTATCAGCTAAACGTCTCACATTCATTTGTTCCATATGCAATGACTATTTTGCAATGAGTGTTGTTCGTGGTAGTTTAATGTCACGTTGTGGAGGAATTCCTACCGTTCCCGTTTTACATCCTGCAGGATCTGGTACCAGAATTAATTACTCCTGGATAGCCCCCTTTGAGGCACGACTCACCCAACATACCCGATGGTGTTCAAGCGATATTGAGAGTTCTTGTCCTCTTCCCTCAAGTATAAATATGTTGGGATTTCCCAGGTCCTTTGGAACAGGCAATAGTTTCATCACTTGGCATAGCTGAAGTGAAAATAAAATATTTAGTTTTTTTAATAGTGTAATAACCTATGAATCTCAGTGAATTACGAAATAATTAAAGGTTTTCTCACGAAGTTCTGGAAAAAAAATTAATGGTAATAAATACCTTCTCTCGGGAAAAAAAAAATATATATATATATATTTATTTGATTTTTGATTAAATACAATTTGATATTGGAAGGAAAGAGACGGGAGAAGTTCCATTGTTCCGCAGAAATATTTCTATTTCCTGCAGAATGCGTCTTAATATATTGTTTTATATAGATATGAATGGTTTCCCGTAACAGACAGTTTCGTAACGGAAGGTTAAACGGTTTTCCTTACTAGATGAAGTCATTTCTGTCTTGAACTTCGAAGAGTTTCCTTGGTCCATAAAAGTGGTATATTCGATTCATGGTAATTAATGATACATTTTTAGTGATTGCGAAACAGTTTTTGCACATGAATGCCTTATGACCTGCATCGAAACAAGTTCATGAGAGAAGAGTTTCCTTGGTCCATAAAAGTGGTATATTCGATTCATGGTAATTAATGATACATTTTTAGTGATTGCGAAACAGTTTTTGCACATGAATGCCTTATGACCTGCATCGAAACAAGTTCATGAGCGAAAAATGTATGCAGAAAGCAATTTTCTAAATAAGAAAGCTAAATAATGCATATATATTTTAAGTCGCTTGAAGTATGACGACGAGGCAAATTACGATGGAATTTTGTAATGCTCCAAGTAGCAAAATAAAGTGAGTTTGTTCCATATCGACCTCATCCAGATTGCTTACCAAAGCCCGCAATGTAAAATCATTTAATATAATATTTAATATCACATACACGTTTTCCCTCCATCCGACCGTGAAAGGTCCTGCAGCTGGTGATCAACGGGCAGATGCAGCGCCGCCCCGCGGGATGCCCCCGAAGCGTCTACAACATCATGCTCGCGACGTGGAAGGCCAGACCGGAGAACCGCATCCCAGTGTGGAACGTCCTCTACCTCCTCCACGAGGCGATGAGCAACGTCAGCACCTACCGGGAGGTCCAGGAGGCCGACCCGGAAACCGATGCATAAGATCTTTTGGACCAGTTGCAGACCAGTCCGGTTTTGGAAATCGACCCGTTGTATCGGCATATGAAGACTCGTATTAACCTCTTGGCGTCGTATATTTTCAGGTGAACTACTTTCAGGGGAACCTTTGCTCAAGGAATCATTGTTGCTTCGAAATGTTTATAGTCATTGTGATTCAAGAAATGAAAAATATATAATTTGTGAACTCTTGATGTATGCGTGTCGATTCTTTATGATATCGAACCTTAAGTAAATGTATTAATTAGCCTAAAAACCCGGGGACTCATACCTGGCACCCCACACACGGTACGTGGCAAGTGCCACAAATCATTCCCGTCTCTTTCAAAGACCATGCACAACTGTTGGAAGAATTTCCAAGAACCAAAAAATTATATATCCAGATTCCCATAATTTGCAGATCTTCATCCCAAATCCGGCTCGTTCTGAGGGATCGTATTTTGCTTGGTATTTTTACTCAGCGGTATTTTATTTCTCGCATTCGTGAGGGGCGTTCCTTGATGAAGCATGTCTGGCTCGTCAGAAAAGTCCTTGTTTGCGAAATGCAGACAATTTCTCACGATGAGGAACCTTTCCCGAGACATCATTCGGGTTGCAGCACGGCCATCTGCTGCAAATGAAAGGAATCGTTTGGCACTTGGAATCCTTTTTTATTTTTTTTTTTTTTTTTTAAAGAAGCATGCAGATCCGTTTCTTCCTGGATTAGGGTTGGAGAAAAATTTTCTCCATCTATTTTCACTCTTGCCTCGATAATGCTACATTTTTCCTCTTGGAAACAGCTGGTGGTAAGAGCACGTTTTCGAATTCAATATCTTCTGGTGAAATGCTTTCCGGGGAGTTCTCACCAGTCTCGTCATCAGAACATATAACGCTCATCATCCCTTGAATTTAATAAAATATGGTATGATACGTATGAATATCGTCTGTCAAGGAATATACATATTGGTTCAACATTGGCACTCAACTTGGACCATTATTGGGATTACTACCGGGACCCTTGGACCAATATTGGCGCTAATATTTTCCCTAAATTCTTTATCCAGTGGAGGTATTCCACGATGATGGCATTTCGATTTGCAGTACTAGTACGGCCGGTACCAGTACAAAGCCCTGCCCATACACATGTCTCTCTCGTGCATAGGCAGGAGAGATAGAACAGTACAGAGGTTGATATTTCCTTGAATGTACTTATTGTGTTACATTTGAGGGAAAGGTCCATTCGTTACAGTTCTACGGAGTATTTGCGAATTCAGTCCCTCGTGCCCTCATTATATCCTCATGTTGAGGAAACGGAGGATTAAGGCCACGGATATTTTTTTCTTATACTCCAATTTTCGTCACAGTTTCTCACGGGGAATATGAGCTTGTTTATGACCTGGGCTCCATGATTCTGGCTCGAATATGCGGATAACAAATGATGAAGTGTCCGAGTTTATAGATTGCTCTAATGAGACTAGGCGAAACACACGGCGAGGTACTACACACTCCCGTGAGGGACGATTACAGGGAAAGATTGAAGAGTACTTCTGTGTGCTGTGCGAAAAGCGAGACTTGTACCTCCATCTAGTGGCCTGAAGGAGAACTTCAGCATTTTCGAAAAACTTCAGTCTAACTGCACTGATTTTTGCCTTATGTTCTGCGGTCAGCTGGCGTGGGACACACTTCGCACCTGTCTTCCTAACATGCAATTTATTCATTCATTTAACATTGTGTAAAATGCTTGAAATTGAGCCAGCACTTTGTCCCCACTCGGCCACGAATGTTTCAATGGTTACACTTGCGTAGATCAGCATGAATCTGACTTGGACTATCACCGAGTTTCATCCGGGTGAAAACATGAAATCGTTCCCTCTCTTTGTTAAATTCCATATTTTTATGCCACAGTCAACGCGGACACTTTTTGCTGAACTAGTACACAGCCTACAGGGCGTTTAATTTAAATTGTACATCTTTGAACGCTCATATCTCTGAGAGGACGCGACCGTTCTTTACGAAATTTGACCACTATATAGAGCAACCTTTGCCAAATTANGAAGAGTTTCCTTGGTCCATAAAAGTGGTATATTCGATTCATGGTAATTAATGATACATTTTTAGTGATTGCGAAACAGTTTTTGCACATGAATGCCTTATGACCTGCATCGAAACAAGTTCATGAGTGAAAAATGTATGCAGAAAGCAATTTTCTAAATGAGAAAGCTAAATAATGCATATATATTTTAAGTTGCTTGAAGTATGACGACGAGGTAAATTACGATGGAATTTTGTAATGCTCGAAGTAGCAAAATAAAGTGAGTTTGTTCCATATCGACCTCATCCAGATTGCTTACCAAAGCCCGCAATGTAAAATCATTTAATATAACATTTAATATAACATACACGTTTTCCCTCCATCCGACCGCGAAAGGTCCTGCAGCTGGTGATCAACGGGCAGATGCAGCGCCGCCCCGCGGGATGCCCCCGAAGCGTCTACAACATCATGCTCGCGACGTGGAAGGCCAGACCGGAGAACCGCATCCCCGTGTGGAACGTCCTCTACCTCCTCCACGAGGCGATGAGCAACGTCAGCACCTACCGGGAGGTCCAGGAGGCCGACCCGGAAACCGATTGTATTCTAGAAAACCTGGTCAACGTCTGGTCAGGCCAAAACCTTTAGCTGGGCAACATAGCCGTATACTTCTGAGCATAATTGGAGAACCGCAGCATATAAAAGTCCACTTGATGAAAGTCCCCTTGCTTTGCTCAAGGAATCATTGTTGCTTCGAAATGTTTATAGTCATTGTGATTCAAGAAATGAAAAATATATAATTTGTGAACTCTTGATGTATGCGTGTCGATTCTTTATGATATCGAACCTTAAGTAAATGTATTAATTAGCCTAAAAACCCGGGGACTCATACCTGGCACCCCACACACGGTACGTGGCAAGTGCCACAAATCATTCCCGTCTCTTTCAAAGACCATGCACAACTGTTGGAAGAATTTCCAAGAACCAAAAAATTATATATCCAGATTCCCATAATTTGCAGATCTTCATCCCAAATCCGGCTCGTTCTCTCCCTAGCATAAAACGAACCATAAAAATGAGTCGCCATAAAATAAAGAGCGTAAGCACTCCCCGCAAGGAACTACTTCGTACAGACCGAGCAGTCTTTTCAGGAACAAACGCTTTACGTCTGTTAACCTCACGATGAGTAACCTTTCCCGAGACATCATTCGGGTTGCAGCACGGCCATCTTCTGCAAATGAAAGGAATCGTTTGGCACTTGGAATCCTTTTTTATTTTATTTTTTTTTAAGAAGCATGCAGATCCGTTTCTTCCTCGATTAGGGTTGGAGAAAAATTTTTTCCATCTACCATCACTCTTGCCTCGATAATGCTACATTTTTCCTCTTGGAAACAGCTGGTGGTAAGAGCAAATTTTCGAATTCAATATCTTCTGATGAAATGCTTTCCGGGGAGTTCTCACCAGTCTCGTCATCAGAACATATAACGCTCATCATCACTTGAGTTTAATAAAATATGGTATGATAAGTATGAATATCGTCTGTCAAGGAATATACATATTGGTTCAACATTGGCACTCAACTTGGACCATTATTGGGATTACTACCGGGACCCTTGGAGAAATATTGGCGCTAATATTTTCTCTAAATTCTTTATCCAGTGGAGGTATTCCACGATGATGGCATTTCGATTTGCAGTACTAGTACGGCCGGTACCAGTACAAAGCCCTGCCCATACACATGTCTCTCTCGTGCATAGGCAGGAGAGATAGAACAGTAGAGAGGTTGATATTTCCTTGAATGTACTTATTGTGTTACATTTGAGGGAAAGGTCCATTCGTTACAGTTCTACGGAGTATTTGCGAATTCAGTCCCTCGTGCCCTCATTATATCCTCATGTTGAGGAAACGGAGGATTAAGGCCACGGATATTTTTTTCTTATACTCCAATTTTCGTCACAGTTTCTCACGGGGAATATGAGCTTGTTTATGACCTGGGCTCCATGATTCTGGCTCGAATATGCGGATAACAAATGATGAAGTGTCCGAGTTTATAGATTGCTCTAATGAGACTAGGCGAAACACACGGCGAGGTACTACACACTCCCGTGAGGGACGATTACAGGGAAAGATTGAAGAGTACTTCTGTGTGCTGTGCGAAAAGCGAGACTTGTACCTCCATCTAGTGGCCTGAAGGAGAACTTCAGCATTTTCGAAAAACTTCAGTCTAACTGCACTGATTTTTGCCTTATGTTCTGCGGTCAGCTGGCGTGGGACACACTTCGCACCTGTCTTCCTAACATGCAATTTATTCATTCATTTAACATTGTGTAAAATGCTTGAAATTGAGCCAGCACTTTGTCCCCACTCGGCCACGAATGTTTCAATGGTTACACTTGCGTAGATCAGCATGAATCTGACTTGGACTATCACCGAGTTTCATCCGGGTGAAAACATGAAATCGTTCCCTCTCTTTGTTAAATTCCATATTTTTATGCCACAGTCAACGCGGACACTTTTTGCTGAACTAGTACACAGCCTACAGGGCGTTTAATTTAAATTGTACATCTTTGAACGCTCATATCTCTGAGAGGACGCGACCGTTCTTTACGAAATTTGACCACTATATAGAGCAACCTTTGCCAAATTATTGGACAGAGTTTCTTAATCGCAGCGCCATCTATTGAGTTGAAAAACCGATTTCGACAAAAAAATTTCTGAAACCAAGATCTTATCAACTTGATGAAATCTTTTAAAGCTCATCATTCGTTCGATAATGCCTTGATCCAGTGGTGCTGAAAATGACATGATTGTATCTCATCTCCTTACTAAGATATCAATCGTCAAACCTTAGCCACTTAACCCATCCGCTTACACTTAATACTCTCAATGCCATGGATTTTTCCGATGTTTTGGCCTGAGCCCCTGTTACCATCGACCTGACGCATGAGGCCTAGGACGCAAGGCTATAACTTTTTTG